CAAGCTGAATTTTAGGCAATTACAAAAACTCAACTGAGCTGGCACCACCTACGGTTTGCGAGAAATTTTTTCTACCACTGACTGGTAGGGCTGCTTCACGACGAATGGCAAGAATTCGAATGTGACAGATGGGAGGTGGGAGTGTTATGGTGCAGATTTGGTTCGAGTCAGGGGGGAGGGGGTGGCCGGGACAGGTGGATTTAAGGGCTACATGATGTAGGTCCTTTGTCGGTTGGCTAGGTCACGTACATTTGGAGGAGGCAATGGATGAAAAGGATGAAGAGGTGTGCTCCTAGTTTGTGCTGAATACACGGGGTAGGGAAAGGATGAAATACTGCTTGCTTGCAGAATGTTCTTGTAGTGGAGATAGAGAGGAGCCCAGATGTTGCTTTGCAGAGGAAAATACAACACAGCACTGCAAAGGAATTCAAATCAAAACAAGCTCGAACCTTTAAATAAAAGCAATAAGTAGCGGTGCGCACGAGGGCAGCCGGTGCGATCATGCGTTTTGTGTAGTTCCATTCACCGAAAGATTGCCTGCTAATGATTTTCACTGCCCCGCCAAAACTTTCACGGAGTCATAAGTGATGCTGAGATGCGCGGGAAGCTGAATTTAAAATTGCAGGATTGTATGTAGACAGAAGACATTACCATAAAATTTAGCTTCCTGGCTTTTATGGTTCCCGAAATAATAATTTCCCCGGCAAAATTTTTACGAGGCTGTGGGTGATACCCGAGAGCGTAAGATCGCTGAATTTGAATTGCAAGGTCGTACGTCGGTAGGGGGTCATTACTCCAAAATTTTAGCTTCCAGGGTCCCATGGTTCCCGAGGCAATAATTTACCCGCCAAAAATTTCACGGGGCCGTATATGTTACATGCGGGCACGAGAAGACTGAATTTAAATTTTCTGGGTTACGCGTGAGCAAGGAACATACCCATAAAATTTCAGCTTTCTGGATTCCGTGGTTCCCAAGATAATAATTTATCGCCAAAACTTTCACGGGGCCGTAGGTTATACCCGAAAGCGCGGGGAGGCTGAATTTGAATGGGCAGGAGGTCATTATCCTAAAATTTCAGCTTCCTAGATTCTGTGGTTCTCGAGATAATGATTTTACCAGCAGAAACTTTCACGGAGCCGTAGGTGATACCCGAAATCGCGGGAACGCTAAACAAAAGAAAGTGAGGTTTTGATAGTGAAAACTCATTCATAAAAACCCGTCATCAGTAGGGGACTTCCCTTTTTAGGAAACTGATGCTTAGGTAAAGCTGAGAGCGAATAAGTCCCGTGAAGTGGGCAAAAAAAGGGTAGAATGGATGCCCGGGGATGAAGTCAGCCTTTGCTCCTCTGAGATTCTGGAAGACAAAAAAACAAGGGTATAGCTGTTGCGCGCAGTTGGAAGCTGTGTGAGGCAACACTGTGGAATTGTTTGCAATTCTTGCTTAATCCAGTCGGGCTTATTTACCCTCAGCTTCACCTAAACATTTTGAATAGGCAAGGTTGAGCGTGAGCAGGAGGTCATTATCCTAAAATTTCAGCTTCCTAAACTCCGTTATTTCCGAGATAATAATTTACCCGCAAGAACTTTCATTAGCCTGTAGGTGATACCCGAAAGCGCGGGGACGCTAAACTTGTATAGGCAAGGTCGAGCGTGGGTAGGGGGTTATTACAATAAAATTTCAGCTTCGTATATTCAGTGGTTCCCGAGATAATAATTTACCCATCAAAAATTTTCACGGGGCCTTACGTGTTACTCGCGGGCAAGGGAAAGCTGAACTTAAATTTTCTGGGTAGCACATAGGCGCGGGACAAGCCCACGCAATTTCAGCCCTCTAGTTTCCGTGGTTCTCGTGATAATAATTTTAACCGCCCAAAATTTTACAGGGCCGTACGTGTTACCCGCGGGTACGGGAAGGCTGAATTTAGGTTTACGGGGCCGCACGTTGGTGGGAGCACTACACTAAAATTTCAGCCGCCTAGCTTTCGTGATTCCCGAGTTGAAAGTGCGGGACAAAATGTAGGACACACACACACAGACAATCCCGTGACAGTGTGCGTTTTCTACTGCTGTTATACAGCACAAAACGCATAAAAAATCGAAATCAAAGAATCGGAGTGGAAATTGCCTTACAGAAGCCCATCTGCAGCAGTGGGTTTTTACTGCGTTAAGCTGAGAAGTCTCAACTTTACTTACACAGTTTTATCTTATTCGCTCCCAGCTTATCTAAGCATCAACTTGATAAATGTGAAGTCCTCTGCTGACAACAGGATTTTGTAAAAAACCTTCACTCGCATAGACTCACTTTTATTCGTTTGCTTTTAATTTTTTTCGTGTTGGGTTCATATTTTTATGCGTTTTGTGCTGTGTAACAGCAGTACAAAACGCATATTGTTACAGGGTTGTCTGTGT